TTTTTTTTTTTTTTTTGAGAAAAGAATCAGACGAGAATTTTAATTTAACCCAAGAAATAAAACTTGTTTAGAAAAAGTAACGAAACGCATTTTACAAACGTACAAGCGTAACAAGTGCACAAGTGAATCCAAAAAAACTTTTGATCGATGTACTCCAATTATGTATATTTTCTTATGTTATTGGTGATAAAAGAATATTAAATAAGTTTCTTCTTGTAAGTAATTAACGGTAATGTAAATAATATGCGATTATCAATTGACGTCAAATCATATGTTCATATCGAATCGCGTAATTTCTTAAAAATTTTTAACTATCTTTTTTTTATTTTACTTCTTTCTCGTTGGATTAAATTCAAGAAATCTACGAAATCGATCGTAAATAATTAAAATTCGATGATTTTTCTATAGTAAGCGAGATGGAATGAGAAATGAAAGGTCTTCGTGGATCTTTTTTCCTCGGTTTATCGCCTGTTCCGGATACCATCGGATAAATTATCTCCGCTGCCGTCAGATGGCGACTTTCGTGTCACGAATAGCGGCCGATGGAGAACGGATGTGCGAGAGTTGTGCGCGCTCCTTGCGTGCAGTCGATCCGAGTACTCGAAACCTGTCGCGAACGCAAGCCGACCTTTGACTCCGCTTTCCATGAACCTTTGTGATTCATTCGGTGTCGAAGAGCTCGTGACAGCTCCTGTCAGCAACGCGCCACTGGACCATTCTCACTTTCATCCCACCTGTAAGTTGCGTATATCTTTCGAATACCGCCTTCCGCCCCTCCGCACTTCCGCCTCTTCGAATTTTTCCCGCAATATTCGTTCGACGATTCTCAAAAACCTTCGCGATTATTAATATCATTTTGCACGAGGGAACAAAAGGGAAGGGAAATAAATAAATAGAACACGTTGAAAAATTCTTATTGTCATCGTTTGCAATTTTTATCAAAGTGACAGTTGACAATACTCGTTCGCGAGTGACGCGGCGATGGGTATGGTATCGTTTTACGGAATTCCGCGTGGCAAGCATAAATTAAAAAAGACGCCGACCGAGTAATCGCGATCATCGTCGTCGTTTACGATCCACTTTTTCTTTTTTCTTTTTTTTTTTTCCTATCCTTTTCCTTAAAGTTGAGTTTCGTATCCAGAGAGAGAGGAAGAGAGTTTTCGCGCACAGAGGTGATTTTTAAAGAGAATCTCCTCACGGGAAGACGCATTTGCATTTACGATATATTCTTTGCGAAACACATCAACACGCTCCTATGCGAGACTATTACACAATTTCTTCAGGAAAATTCCTAAGCCGATAGATCAAGTCTCGTTCTTCTTCGTCTCTTCTTCGTTTCTTGCTCGATTAATATAGTAGGATATATACTTCTTTCTTTTCTTTTCTTTTCTTTTTTTTCACGGAGAAGATAGAATTTAAGAACTTCCTTGGTTCCTTCGGAGCAGAACGCCGTTAATTTAAAGAAAAACAACTGGCGAAATTGCAACCGGCTGGCTAGCAAATTCTTCTCGCCTCGTTTCGCGCGAGAAAATTACAAGCGTGTTTGCAAATTGCTTTGTGCAATTTTGCGTCGCGAGGTCTCCATTAGATAAGAAACGTGATTCTTAAATTCACGACACGGGAAGAATTAATCTGCTGCCAACAAATATATCGCGATCGGACATTCGCAGTTTTCAAATTGCGAATTATTATCAGCGATACGATTTTTCTTTTTGAAAGCATTTTTCGAAACACTTGATTTAACTCGTTTAAAACGCACGACATTCGGCGAAAGAGCGGGGCGCGCGCAGTTTCGTGCATGGAACCGTTGTTACGTAACTCAATCGAGGGCATGCATTACATAATAATGATTATAAACGAATCTCATAATCATGCTAATACGAATTGTTCAATGACACTGGTCCCGTTCAGACCCACGCGGCTACATGAGAAACAATCTTCTCTAACCGAGCCAAACTGACCCATCGAATTGTCATCACTCGTCATCTATCTCGCCATCTCACGTTCACGAACAAAGGAATGTCACGTCGATGATCGTTCCACGATCGTGAGATTATTTATTCGAATCGCGGGAATATCTTCCCACTCGACATATACGATAAAATATCCTCGCCGTTTCACTGTCAATAATCTTCCCGTCCCAGAAATGCACACTCGTCACCGGTTCGTCGATCAGCCACCGTTTTTAACGATTAGACCAGGTTTCTGGATCAAGGACCGTGTAATCCGCTCTCCTCGCGCACGGGGATTAGAAACGTTAATTAAATGTCCCAGTGGATCGTCCCGATAAATCCCGGCGGCGGATAATCGAGGAAATCGATCGTGCGAACCGGCTGAACGTCGATTTCTCTTCCCATGTTCCTGTTCCCGGAACAATCGTCACTGGATATTTCACGCCCGGTACGACGCTCCGCGGTTATCATCCGCTTTCTTTCGCGCCCGTGAGAAACCTTCCTTCGATCGCTTTTCAGCGAGCCGATGCGAAAAAGAAGAGAGAGTAGAAACAGTAGGGATTTCCATCGATAACCGATTTCATTCGACGAGACCGAGATGTTTTTATAAACGACGATTCTCGTGGGAATCTCTCTCTCTCTCCATCTTGTGGAGACGAAGAGGGAAGAGAAGTTTTCGATTCTGTGCGTAATCCCACGTTGAGAAAACGAGTCACGTATGGGTGGCGAGGTATTATAAGGGATGCAAGATGGGCAAGACCCTTTGTTCGATCCTCGGTTATGTCACGTGGGAGGACAACCGTGTACGCATATCGTCTCACGATTAACGAGCGCATTGTAATAAATTAGGAATTACCACGATGGCCTCTATACTTTCGTAATTGACGGGCCTCGCGTTTTTCTTCAACGATGGCTTACTTTGAAAAGTGATTAACATGGAATTTTCGTTCAATTATAGCGATCTCATTATTATTATTTTAGTATATTAGTATTTTAGTCTCCGCGGGCAACTGTCATTTTTATATCAAACTCGGATTATTGAAATATTCATCGAAATTTTTAATTTTTAATTCTTGATCCTCGAAAATCTATATCGCGTACGGAGGATTAATTAAGGAAAATCGCGAGATATTTCTTGAAATCTCTAATTTAAAACTCGTTTCGAAATCTAACGATTTTTTCTAGGTCCTCGGCAACATCGGTTACAGAGAATTGTTAGAAAATGACGCGAAAATTGTAAAATATTCTTCTAACATAAAAACTCATTTCGAAGAAATATTATCATTTCTCTCCAATCCTCAGCGATACAAATCAGGAACATAAAAGTTAAGCATGAAGACAAAAAATTTGAAATATTCTTCGAAATTTCTAATTTAAAAACTTCGAAGAAATTTAACAATTTCTCCTCGGTTCTTGAGATCGCTTACAGAAGATTATTAGAAAAGGAAAATTTTAAAATACTCTTTCTAACATAAAAACTCATTTCGAAGAAATTTAACAATTTCTCTCCGATCTTCAATGGATGATTTATAAATCAGGAAAATAGAAAAATTTGAAATATTCCTCGAAATCTCTTAATTTAAAAATATTCAACTCAGAGAATCGCTCGGAGAAGATTATTTATTAGAAGAAAAATTTCGAAGAAATCTCGAAATTTAACAATGGAATTTCTTCCTCATCTTCAACAACCCAACAATATCGTCTAGAGACGCTTAATTAACGAGAATCGTGAAATATTCCTCGAAATCTCTTAAATTAAAAATATTCAACTCCGAGAATCGCTCGCAGAGGATTATTTATTAGAAGACGAAAATTTCGAAATACTCTTCGAAATCTCTAATTTAAAAACTTCGATTTTCGAAATTTAACAATCGAATTTCTTCTTCACCCTTAACAATCCTACAATATCAGACGCTTAATTATCGAGAATCGTGAAATATTCCTCGAAATCTCTTAAATTAAAAATATTCAATTCCGAGAATCGCTCGCAGAGAATTATCAGAAGACGAAAAATTTCGGAATACTCTTCGAAATCTCTAATTTAAAAACTTCGATTTTCGAAATTTAACAATCGAATTTCTTCTTCACCCTCAACAACCCTACAATATCAAACGCTTAATTATCGAGAATCGTGAAATATTCCTCGAAATCTCTTAAATTAAAAATATTCAACTCCAGAATCGCAGAAGATTATCGGAAGACGAAAATTTCGGAATACTCTTGGAAATCTCTAATTTAAAAACTTGGAAAAAAAAAATTATCTCGATCCTCCAGCTATCATCTCAGATGGAGAGTGATGGAAAAACGGGCGTTTCGAGCACTAGCCTCGTTGCACAAATTGCACGCACGAGCGGAGATAGGGATGATGATAGGCGTACGTATTCGAAACGCGACGTTCAACGCTCGTCGTTCCTTTCCTCGGTTACGTCACGTGGGAAGTGAGCCGCGTAGGACGCGTTAACGCTTGGCCGTCGCCGATGGCACGGTATCTCGTGTAAAGCGAGAAAGAGCGGAGCTCGATGTGAATTAGGGAGGGAAAGAGAGGAGGGAGGAGAGAGAGAGAGAGAGAGAAAGAGAAAAAAGAATCGTGCCGCGTTAACTCTTAAGCACCGTCCACACCATGTTTCGTCGACGGCGCGACGAGGGGGGAGATCATAGATGATCGCAAATTGTCCGCAATTGGCAGGAAGTCGTGACGAGGGGGACCGTTCCTACGCCCCCACGCACTCTCTTCGCCTCGTTCGTTAGCCGCGCCGTTTACGCTTCCATTTCGCTCTTACGAATTGATTTCGAGATCGATCCCGGCAAATATCCAATCCCCTCTCCTCGCCCCATCCAATACCTCCGACAATGCGCGGAAAAGAATATCCACGCTGCGTTGTTGGTCCATCGTTGCCGATCTTTCGGCCAGAGAACCAATCCAGATTCGAGATTCATCTCTCTCACCATATATCGAATCTCGAATCCAATATTTTATCCGGTAGAGAGAGGAATCGTTCATTGTGATTTTTCCACGTATTCGTTCGGTTACTTTCGCCGATATTACTTTTCGATCGGGAAGAAAAAGAAAAAGAAAAAGGAAATTCAACTCGAAATTGATCTCGCTCTCTAAGAACGTGCATCGAAAACGCGTTTACTTTGGGTGGAAAAAAAAATCGGAAATCTATCGAAAAGTCTCAATCCAGTTGTCATGCGTTCATCTTGGTGGGAAAAATTGGGAAAAAAGAATCGAAAATTCGCATTCGATTTTTCTTTGCGTCTCGTTGGAAAGAGCGTTAGAGGTTTACGAGTCAGGATAATCGAACGCGCGCTACGAAAAGAGAAACAATATTTCAGAAATCTATAATTTTCCACGTTTCGAAACGATCGAGTCACGTTTCACGTCGGTTATTTCGGAAACAGGATACGAAACGTATTTACATTCTCCTGGAACCAGCCCCGAGCACGTTTTTTAACTCTCTCTCTCTCTCTTTCTTTCTCGTTTTCTGAACGAGCCCTATTTGCAACAAGTGGTATATCGCGTATTACACGCAACACCGTGTTCGGTTACGCGATAAGGAGAATCAATATTATCCTATCCTGATAACGACATTCGAATCGTGGCGGAAGAGGAAGGGATTTTTCCGCTCGAAACACGGAATAAGGCCAACCGTGATACAGTTATCGAGGCAAAATGGTTCTAAACGAGCGATCGGTGTAGCCGAACAAGTATCGAAAAAATCGAACGATCGTAAATTCCATCTGCATCGCGGACCGCACCGATCGCTCGTTTACCTCTCCACGCGCGTGTGAAAACGCTGCGTGAACAACGCGTATGCATCGCAGAATACTTTTACTATTTTTCTTTTTTTTTTTTTTTGCCGCGTTTATTCCACGCGAAAATGAATGTGACAGGCGAAGCGTTCGAGATAAGCGTACGCGTCGTGTCACGCGTCGTCCCCTTTCTTTTCGAGAGGCGCCTCACCTGTGCAAAGAGACTCGATTCCTCAGTCGAGCGGGATCAGGTGAGAAATTCGCATCGCGCCGCGGGATAAATCGCTGTTCTCGAGTCGGTGTTCCATCACGATTCTATCACGAAAAACTTTGTCGGTGAAACTTTGGCGAAACTTTGGGTGAAATCGGTCATTCCACGAAACGAATCCCTCCTCCTTTTATCGATCGATCGGAACAATACGGAGAGAAACAATCGCAACGATGGATCTTTTATTCAGCGACTCGATGTGCGGTTCGATCGGATTCGTTGCGTACGCACGTGCGATAGGGCATGTTTAATGCATGAAAAAAAAAAAAAAAAAAAGAAAGAAAGAAAAATACCTCGAACGTTATTTTATCGAGATTCCGATTTCAGATATCGCGATCGTGGAATGTAAATTTTCCATACCGTGAAATTCTCTATTTTCCTAGTTCTTGATTGAATTTTTGAACGCGTAATTTCGCGAAAGTAGAGAATCGAATGGAAGA